CTGAATCATTCTCGAATGCAGTTTTTAGCAGGAGAATATTTGGGTCATATGGCATTTACGGCTCATCTTGCAGCCTTGGGTGTCAATAGAAAGTTGTTTGGCACATATGGCAGTAAGGCGTCCGAATTTTTTGCAGGTAACCAATATGTAGACGTTAGGCTTTTATTTTTGGTCACCAAACAACTGATTGCCCGTTGATTAGTTGTCATAAGCGCCAGTGCGGTAGCCGTGGGTGGATTTTCCTAACTGATATCAGAGAACAGTAAATATGTATGCTGGCAGCCGCTGTTGCATTCAAAGGTGTAATATATTGAGGCAAACTCCTCAGGACAGGTTGGTTCAGAAGAGCTGTTCTCATCTCTGCTAAGAAGATAGGCTCAGGCGTGGGCTAGGCCAAATACTGGAACACCTCCGACTGTAGGCCATGACAAAAGGCCTTGGAGGAAGTTGCCTGTTTCAATCACCATTTGGGTCGTGTGATAGACCATAAACAGTAGCTGTAAGAAAAAACGTTCATGTACCGGCTCCCACGTGACCGCACGGCTCTTTTCAGAGCGTTGTATTTACATAATCTAACCTTATGCTCCTTGAACAGTCGGTCTGTTAGATGAGCATAGAACTTCCAGAAAAGGTAGACCGAACTTTTCATCAGGATCCGAGGCCGATTAGCTGCTTGGCTGACAACTGGGTGATGGCGATTCGACAGTCCAGTTCCGAGGTGATGTACTTCGGGAAGGTCAGGAGTTCAAAGGCACTAGCCTATCTTTCCCTTAATAAAAGTGAACTGAAGTGAACATGTTTGCGTCGGGGCCGACTTCGGGCTATTTTATGTTCGCGAACGGTCTGAGAAGCGGTGATTGTTGGGCCATGTCTGCGTAGGTGCCGTGCCAGTCTTGATCGATCAGTTTTGACGTCTCTTCGTCACATCTCGCCACGTCCTAACGCAATGTCTTTCGTCCTCTGATACTGAAGAGCATAATACTTTGGTTGTCTTATTTGTTTCTCCGCTTTCCGGAAATTATTTAAACTAATGGATCATGTTTTCGTCAGTTTTCTTTCCATTCCGCGTGAGAAATTGCTCGGTTGCTGCTGCTATAAAAAGTAGTCAGGCGTGAAGCGACATGTTTTGTGCGGCGTAAGGGCTTGAACGCTGGTCATAGTAAGGTTGAGTGATTTTAGCATACTTTATTGTAGTCTCCATGCTGTGAAAGGATCTAGTCCATATTTAATGGACTAGTGCAAAGGAACGACTTTTTCAACAAACTATTTTTTGGTCTGGGCTGTTGAATACAAGCGATTTTTGTAAAGACGGATTAAAAACTGAAGTTGACAGGAGATAAGGAGGAAAGATATAAATTAAGAGAGCGAGGTAGCGATGAGGTCGAGTAAAATGGGACCACTTGGTTAATGAAATAATTAATTCTCAGGTGAAAAGTGTTTTTTCGGGGAAAAAACTCGCGACCATGAGTAAAATTGAACGAAGATAAAATTGAAGGAGTACTGACGGAGGATATAAAAGCTGGGATGGACGTTTCTGATTCATTAGCCTTCATCAGCCAGCCTTACCAAACGTGGGTTTATTTAATGGGAGCTTCAGCCCCAACGGCCAAACACTATTCCTGACCTGATAGGTGAACGCACATCAGTCGAATTTGCATGCTCCAAACAAACAGGCAGAAACTGGTGTATGCTTTGTTTTAAAAAGGCGCTAATAACGAAGGAACTGAAAGGCGTAAGCGAACATTACACAGATTGAGTTGGTTATGCAAGACCAATGAAAACTGGTTAGGGAATAGACATTACAGATACTTTATGTGTTTTGTATGGTTTCACTGAACCAGGGGCTCTTGTAGCATCCTTTAAGTTCTTTTGGCTTAAACATCCCCGGTGAAAACAGTCACTTGAGGCAGCAATCAACCCCACCAGACAGGGCTCTACAACAGCTGACCAACAACCCCCCGCACCGCTTCTTCTCTCCAGCCTTCGAAGCCTCAAATCATGTGTCCCTTCGCAACTCCCCTCTGGCCCATGTCACTTAGCGTCACTTCCACGTCCCCATTATTAGGTTCAACGCTACTTCTCTCATCCCTTTCAAACTATGTATGCAATTATTTACTTAGCAGGGGACGAATGACTTGTGTGGCCGCTTCATCAAGACATGAGAGTAAGAACGCCCATCCCACTTAAAATAGGTGGCCACGCGGTAAGTTTCAAGAAGGCATAAATATTCCCTTGTCTTAACCCTAACAGTAACCACAACATAAAACTAAATCTTATCCTTAATCTTAATCTTAGTCCTGCCCTAAACCTAAATCCTACAGATAACACGGAACCATATTTGAACCCTTGACATGATCCTAACCATAATCCCTACTTTGGTATTAAGTCTAGCCCTAAACCTTACCCTCAACTTAATTCTAAACCCAATTTCCTTGCAAGGGGCGAAAATCCACACGCATTGTGGGCGGTTTCTGTTCCCCTGTCCTGTCTAGGCGACCTTACAAGTCGTAATTAACCGTAGTGATTCAGCGAAATCGTGTAAGTACCATTGCACAGGCCTGGTGATGGTTCGCAGAGAGGGATCTTTTGCCTACGCTGGCTTGGGTAATTAATGATATCTAACAGAACAGTTGTTGATGAGCCACTCCTGCCTCCACTATTGGCAAGGGAATTTTCCGAGGCCGTTTAGTTGCTTTCCTTCGCTACTTTTAGGTATATTTCCATCGTTTCGGGTTGATCAGCAACAAAGTGTTTTGAAATACTTCAGTAATCCTCAGCATGAAGTTCCACCGGATGCACTTGTGTTACATACTTGAAGAAAGATAATTTGCAGTAAGCAGACGCTTATAACAGTAAATATAAACGGTCATGGATCAAAAACAGATTGCCACTCTGACTTTTTGTTTCTCAGGAAGAAAATGTGAATCATAAACAACTTTATTACCCCTCAAAATTTACGCAGGGAATGGTTAACTGGAAATGGAAAATTAGATATAAACTGTGGTTCTAACCATCCTGCTTTTGATGGATGGACGATCACCGATTGGTTGCGGGACTTATTTGTCTCGTTCTGCCTTAACACTCACTCTCAAATCCCGCCAGCAGCCGCAGAGCGGCTAATAGTATAGCCAGGATAACATTATCGAAAAAGACCAGGGAGACTGAAATAGCTAGTTCTGGTTCATTAAGCGTAATTAACAAACAATACCGAACGCCAGGTATTTCACCACCCGTGGCTCGAGCCCGCGATTTGTCGATTACAAGTTCAACACATTAACCATTGAGCCGGGGGCTCGTTGACCTGTTGGTCGCCGGTTTGAACCTGGGGTGATGCAACACCCCGGATTGAGTTTGGCAGGCTGATGATGGCTAATAAACCAGAAAAGGTCATTCCAGTCTCCACTGTCTTTGTTGTTAATGTTACTCTGTCTACCTCATCTTTGTTGATACACTTTTCCATTATCGATCATGTTTTGCGTCTATGAACATATTTAGAGGACGTGAATGTTTATATAGAAATTCAGTATCTTGAAATTTTTAGCAATCGGCAGTGGTACACGCTTAGTCAAAGTACCGACGCGAATCGTTCAAATGTGTGCTTTTTCTTCCTTAAAGTTGCATGGTGACACTGAAGAGAACATTGTAGTTTATAGCGCGGGGTTTTCCTTGAATAAGTATTGAATGCAATTTTTGAGTGAAAAAAAGTTTCAGTAACTTCTTCTTATTTTCTTTTTGCACTCATCGCTTACCCGCAAAAAAGGCATTAAAAGTGTTAGCAATGATCAAAATTAGAATTATATAGCACTTCTATAGCCTTAGTCGTGCTAAATAACAAATTTCAGATGGCTTCACTACTCAGACAACTTTCATAACCGATGAATAGGTGCTCTAGGAGAAAATGTAAATGCGGCACCCAAGTATGCGTTTTATGGGGATTTACCAGCATCTAGATGCTCATTAAGATCCTCCACAGGTAGATGCACATTTTAGGTATAACAGAGTGCTCCCTACTTTGACAACGAAAACCATTAGCCCGCACGCCTGCAAGTAATTTTCGTATTGTTTACTGTGGCACGCCTTTTATTTCCAAAGTCAGCTGATTAACTTGGATTGTGTTTTTTCTTTCTACAGCACCCGAAATTGTCAGCTTTGATCCGATCACTTTTGCTACGGACATGTGGGCGATTGGAGTGATGACGTACATACTGTGAGTAATCCGCTTCCGATAAGACAACTTTATGACTGCTCGCTTCACGCCACTGGCTTTGGTGGATATCAAAGTTGCGCCCATGTAGTTTCCAAAGTTTATGTATTTAAATTGTACCAATCGTTTATGAACGCTGTCCGATCGCTGACGGAACCCACTCGTCATGTTTTGTCCGACGCCCACTGAACTGTGTGGCATGTTTATTTTCTGAACTACTCATCTTTATTGCGCTATGAGGTCGTTAAGGGCGACAGTCAGCTTCTCGAGGATGTACATTTCGAGGTTAAGGCAGGATACACTGTAGCCCCTTAATCTCGGCGCCTACATCGGAAGAATGTACATCGGACTCTCACAATCCTAACGCTACGGTAATCGACATGACAAGGTAGCCTCCGGCGATTTCCCGGATGACTTGAGTTGATAGATTACCTACTGTTTTACGCAAAAGAAATCACACCAAACTGAGCTGAGCTTCATTGGTAGAAGACGAATGGGCACTAAAATTGTCAATTCGTTATCCGTCCGAATATTATTTCATAATGTCACAAATATGGTGTTCCTATGTAGGGTTGCACGGTAGTCCACGGGGTTCCAAATCCCAGTCATGCTCTACCTAGGTTGCGTAGGTTGTCTATGGGCAAGTGTACAACAACGGCTTCCAGGATGTATGTATCTTGCGCTTTGAGGCCTTTTCATCGCCCTAGGGCTTAAAGTTGCTGTGGGAATGATCTGCTCCCGTTTCGGATTACATTACAAAAAATTAATTCAGCATTGGCTTCAATTTCTCTCGAAGATGGGCTCGGAGGTATTAGATGAGCGGGCAGTTGGCCTCCATCTGAGAGTATCTAACTACGTGCTGGCTCCTGATGCCACGATCGAAGCTCCTCAGTGTGTCAGAACCAAACGAACTATCCATCTCTGGTCTATCCTGAAATTGGAAACGGTTATCGGGGTGTGGTCGTTTTATGGGTTGCTGCTTTCCGAAGCTGTGTATAGAGTTGGACGATGGTGCAAGCCGTTACAGTGGAACCATTAAAAGAACTCTCATTTTCAAGAACCGAATATTCGGGTTCACCAGCGTTGTTCCCTGGTCAGCAAACAAGTATTCTTATAGAGCTATGGTGGCTGTCGTTCTGTCAGAGACAGCTCTAAATGTGACTTATAGAAAATTCAAATGTAACGTATCTGCTACTGCTATCTATTTATGTCTCTGATGATGAATCCGCGACGGATCTCGAAACCTCAGGCGAATCAAAGTATAGTCCCAGTGATCGAGTCGTCTTGTCAATTCAAATGTAGTCTAGCAATGTAATGAAACTCCACCATCTGAGGGAGATGAAACATCTGCGTATTTTGTTTTCCCCTTTAAACCAATTTTCGAATTTTATTTGGATAAAATTAAAAGTTGCCTCTTTTGTTCAAACTGTAGACTGAGCGGTATCTCCCCATTTGCTGGCGATTCTCAAATTGAAACTTTCCAAAACATCCTCGAATGTGTCGTCACCTTTGATCGCGAGGAGTTTGAGGAGGTCTCCGCTGCAGCACGCGATTTCATGGACCGGCTTTTGCAAAAAAATCCTCAGTGCGCATGAGTGATGTTCCGTCTCGTCGTTCCTCCCTTAGAACATTGAAGTGGTTATGTTACTGATTATGTTCTGACAAACTTTGCACAAAAGTATCGGTTCCTAAAGCCACGCGTCAAATATAGGCGGCACAGTACTTCCATCCCAATTATCTGGCCTCATTCACCTCAAAATTTGTTTGTTGTGTATGACCGAGAAGACCACGATAATTGCATTATCATGGCTACTGAAACTCTGTGCTCGTCTAAAATTAAGCTAGGTAGGTGAGTTTATTTGCATGTGATTGCGTATCCCCGATCTCTACCGCGGAGGTTAAGCCAAACCAAGAGAGTTCTTGAGCTAAGGACTATATAACACATGTGTCTGGCTTCAATCCCCAGGTACGACAATTCGGGCATCCCTACTGGAATACAAAAACTAACCGAAAATGGCAGCCTGAATATCCCTATTCTCTGCTGGCCTTGTGCGAGCATGAGGTCGGGATAGCAAACGTACGCTGCCGATTATTAATCAGCAGGCCTGTACATTAACATAAGTGAGGGAGGAGTAGCAACATTTTAAATACCTTTAGTAATGATGCAGCAGATATATACTTATGCCATAAAAACGCGTTGAGAGCTGGTCTATCGGGCACTGACCGACCTCAGTAAATTTTAACCGAAATTTTAACATGTGTTGTCGATTGGGAAGGATTACTTAGGTGAAGTTGCCAAATTTATTACCTTACAGTGTAATCCATAAGTATGTCAGACGCCTCACGCCGTCGGCTTTGGAATCCACGCAATTTTAGCCACTTGCAAAAAGCATATCTGGTTAAAACTGACTAATAAAGTAGTATACATTTTCTATTGATTTTCGAGGACATTAAAGCACCAAATATATCAGAACGAAATTAAAAGCAAAAATATTTTTCTTGCAGTTATTTGGTCGGAGATCACGTCTTTCTCAAGTTATACGTTTATTTTATTTTTGTTTATGTGTTCTATGCAATATACTTGATGCTTGATAGCCATAAGAATCAATGTTAAATGCGTATTATTTAAGTGGTCCGTTTTTTAGCGAGTGCGGTTTTTGATTAGCTTGAAAAATATATAACTAAAGGCCGAAATCTCAGCGTGTGAGATTATGCCGCAAGATAATCGATATTATAACTCCACTTAAGTAATCTATCCTAAATGAAAATTCGTTTAAGAATTGCGGTTAACGTTTCACGAGGTTAGACACTGACTGTATTAGAATATTGCTGAATGAAAAGACATCTAAAGGTGTAGCCCCAGATATAAAA